AAGTCTTTAAAAGATGTGTAGATGCGGCACTTAGGGACATGGTTTAGTGGGCATGGTGGTGTTGGGTTGACGGTTGGACTCGATGATCTTAGAGGTCTTTTCCAACCTTAATGATTCTATGATTCTAAAGTAAGATTTGTATTTAAAACTTTCCTAATGAACATCAACCACTGTTTTAGATGTTGATGTAATGTGGAATAGGGATTTTTTGTTGCTGTGCCAAAGGCTTCCTTTACAGAGGTTAATATGGAAGAAAAATATCCACAGTGTTAACAACACGAGCCAGTCGAAGATGACTCTCTTTGTAAACAAGCTCTTAAATTCTCTTGAAAATGTTTTTCTAATCAACAATAATTCACTAAATAAACTAGAAAGGAGAGCTTGAACAAGAAATGACTGATAATTTGCAATTAGTTAGTCATATTTTTATTCTCCTGGTTGTTAAAGTCATGAGTAAATAGGATCCACATTTTCCAGTCCATTCTTCAAGTTTAAAAAAGTGTTTCTAAATTTAGAAACAATGATAAATTCGGGGGGGGGGATATATATTTGATTTTAAACAGTTACACATAGCTCACATTGAATCCAAGTGAGCTTTTACCAACAGAATACTTTTAAGTTAAAACTGCAACTATAAGACTTTGTAAACTTCAATGAAATTCATTGAACAGTTCTTTACAGAAAGTCAAAGAATTCTATGTTGACAAAGAATTAGATTTGGGTTTGTGCTAGGGAATTGGGGGGGCACAAAAATGATGCAGAGTGTGCATGCATCACCAGCAGTGCTAATATGGCTACAGCCTCTCATGTTCTCTTCAGTGCATCTACATATATGACACTTTCATATTTAAAAAAGTATCCTTTTCCTATCTATTTTTTTCATTTTTCTTCAAAGCCAGCTTTACATTTTGTTTCATTTTTCAGCAGGTTCAACTGTCCTGGCTGACAAAAAATTATATTCATAGTTCTTCTTGAGCATGATCCCTATACTTATTCCCTATACTTATTATTGTAAAACTGATTAAGACTCCCAAACGATTATTTATGTGAGAAAAATGCCTCCAGTAATGATTTTTGCACTGTTAAAATCAGACATGTAAATCAGATAGTAGTCAGGCAAGGACCTGAAATGGGCTTGGATTGTGGTTTCTACTGCTCCTGTTAGGTGTCAGAGGCTTTGCATTTTTTGAGATTCCTGAAAGATGCTACATGTCATAACACAGTGTTGGAAAGGATCCTTAGGAGAAAGACTGAGAAAAGATGTAGATCTTTCCTTCTGAGAAGATGTTTTCAGTGCTCTGACTGCATACCATAAATTAATAGAGCTGAGTTATACTTCAGATACAGTGAGACACTGATTCCAACACACAGTCTTGCCTTTCAAGCACTGCCATGGCTTTGAAGTCTCAACTCTAAAGTCAGTCTAGACATGAAGAATGATACCATGGCCCCACCAGTGCTGAGTAAAAGACCTGATTTTCATGGGCCAAGCTGTCACCCTAAGCTTTCTGCTATTGTAAACTTTATTGGTTACTAATTACTTACTTAAGGAGGTAGAAGAAAGTAACAGAAGTAAGTTCGAGTGGATGTCGTGCAAATCATAATGAACATCCTACCCAGACAAGCAATCTGATTATTCTAAATCCCCAGAATTTGCTTTGGAACTTAATTGACTGTCTGGAATCCTAACCAGTCTCTCCCATTTTGATTTTGTCTTTGTTTTTATAAGCAAATCCAGACAGGTTAGAACTCATTTTTCATACAAATTGCAGATTTGTATGCGTTTGATGATGGTAATAATGATCAATTTCCAGTCAAAGTAGACTGTGTGTGGTCATTTGCCCCACCTCTACCTTCGCTTTTTCAGGACCCATAGGTTTATATTTTTTATCAGAATCTTTCCTTCTCCTCCAGGTGGCATTATAATACTGACTTCCCTTTTCCTTCAGTGGACATGCTGCAAGTCATCCAAGATACTTAACCTTATGCGTAAAGTCTGCCATACCACTGGCTTCTTTGGCACTACATTTTAGTCCACTGCAGACACATTGGGAAGAAGGGTATTTCCTGAAAATGACTTAGACTGAAACTTGGATATTCTCAAAGTCAGTTTTGGAAAACAACCTACTCCTGTGGTTTTATTCCTAGATAGATGTCATGTCTTCCCACGAGAGAAAGTCTGCTCTCAGCACAACTCTGACAGGGAATTCATTACTTTGCTGAGATCCGGAAGTAAAATGAGTTATGTAGCAATAGATACCTTCATGTGTCAGGAAAAATAGTTTGAAGCAATAAGCAATTTGGACTCATTGAACTAAAGTCAGGTGGTGACTTCATTCTCTTCACTGACTAGAATTTAGAGGCATGTAAGCTGTAAAACATTTTACAGAGCCTGTGTAAGGCCCTAAGCAAGAAGCCTGCTACAGCCAACCATATGAAGACACTGAGCAGTGGGGCTGGGTGGATATGGGCGTGAGAGTCTATATAAAACTATCACCTACCTTCTCCCTCCTCTTTTAACACTCCTACCATTGTACAAGCACTCACAGAGCAAGGCTAGAGGGAGAAAACAGTGTGTATGACAGTAAGTTAAGTCATAGAACTCCTGCGGGTTTTTTTTGTAGCTGTTAATAGAGCATCTGTTATAACTTAGTCTTAGCTGTTAATGGGAGTTTTATACTCTGTGTACTCAAAACAGAAATGCAGACATGACTAAAGAGGTTACTGTAATAAGAATGTTAACCCACAGGACAATGGCTCTTCTCACGTTAATATCTCCATGTTAACAAGTCCTTCCTAACTTGTATATTTGATCTATAAAATGTTAATTTAAGAATGCTTTTATTATTTACGCTTCCTAACCACTGCTCTAAATTTCCAATTGGGATGCAACTTAAAGGTTTGCCAAAATCGAAGTCTATTGGACCAGAAGTCTTTCCACTGTTTCTCTGCAGTATTTTATCTCCATGCCAGCAAGGAGTAGAAACAGATGAGTCACAGAGCTGATCTGAATAAACTGAAAACTGGCTCTGTTAGCCAAGAATAACAAGGACATAAGGTAGTGTTGCTCTGCCCCTTTTTCCTTTGGAATATACTCATTTGGATGAGGTCAGAATAACTTTGTGCTAAAAAAACCCCAACAACTAACCAAACAAAAAAACCCACCCCAAAACCAAAAAAAAACATCAAAACCTCCAAAAACTCAAGAATGCAGCATTGCTTGTTATCTCAGTTACTGCTTTCTTCATTTGGGCACCATCTTATATTCAACTAGTAGGGAGATACAGATGAGGATAACTTACGGTGTGAGATGGTACTTCCCCTGTGTACTGTGTCTATACAGGATTGGTGCTGAGGAACTCCATCTTGCACTGAGTTTTATCTGGTTATAACCTTATCTTGGGATCCTCCATACAGACCCCTTTTCTCCCATTCCATCTTCCTCACTACATTTTGAGCACAGCTGATACATGGACCTTCTAATTGCAGTCAACTGTAAGGGAACATGAATACTGTAAGTAGGAATTTACAGTAACCCTTGATGACTTAAAAAAGCCTGGGCTGTACATAACAAGTTACATGGTAAAAAGGCACTGATCTTGTAATGCTTGGCTGAAGAAGCATTTTCTTTCTTAACTATGTTCTTCAGCCAATTTTCTGCCTTTCATTAATTGTGTCATTGTTGGATATGGTAAGAAGACTAAACTTGTTGTGTCTTAGTCTATGCTTATAACTCAGCTTCCTCTTTCCTTTTCCCAAAAGCTAATTAAGACTGCAGCCTTTCATAGCTGCTCATGGGGTGAGGGGGAGATATTTTCTATTCCATGGAAGGAAAAAATATTTTCTCATGACAAAGCAGTTCACACAGTTCGGAGAATATTCTGACTCTTATTCTACTACACAGTTTTCTTTAATCAGATTTTTTTTTTTTTTCATTATTGGTTTCTGGCAGGGATGTAACAAGGAGGAAGAGTATAAGGTTTTTTTCCTCATTAGTTAGAAAATCTGTAGCCTAAACTGTATGCTAGTCTTGCGTTCCCAAGAAATAGCCATTCAGTGAATTGCTTTAAAGAAAGAGATGTATTAAAAAGAACTATACAAATACTTTCAATATATGGCTTCTCAGTTGAAAAGATGCACATAGCAGAATGGTGAATATGTCGTGTATACATGTATATGATGTAATGGAGATAAAATATTTTCACAGCACAGAGAAATGAAAGACTATCTGGGTTTTTTTTAAATTCTTTAATCTTCACCAGCTCTATCAGATTGCTGTCAATTATGGAATTATAATCCTCACTTTTAAAATCATGTTTTGTAATGCTAATGTTCTTCCAGTCTACTTTCATTTTTTAATTTCTTCAAGTAATTTGGATGTTGAAGGTCTTAAGTCAACTTTTCATTTGAATAAGCTGTTCATTTTAATGTGTTTGTGGTTAATGTTTTGTCAGCTTTAGTTTATGAAAAATGAGAGAAGTATACTCAGCTGCCACCAAAGAGTCTACAAATTAAAAGCTGGAATGTAGTGGTAAAGACTCAGCAAAAACGTTCAAGGAATTGGTGTTCAGAACTCCAGCACTGCCAACATCAGCCGCACCTATAAAAACAGATCTGTTATGTAAAACCATGATGGCAATTTTTTCTTGTCATTCACAGTGTACCACAATTTGAAAAGTAATATCTGAAGTCTAATGTCTTAAAGTTTATGTTTTAGACTTTGGTAAGATTGTATAATTTGTTGGCATTCCCTCTCCCGAGGAGCCAAAATCAACTCTGTGATAACTAGTGAATTTGCACTTTTCTGTAAGAGAGGAGAATTTGTCAAGCAAATCTATGGTACGCTTTTTATTTCTGTCACATTAATTAAGAAGACATTATATCTTATAAGACCATCAATGCTAAGTTGAGTGTTACAGTATAGAATTATCAGTTAGCCCTGATTTGCTGTTATGTATAGCTTACACATATTCAAGAATGAGAATATTTTATTGACATCATTATATAACAGTTCCTGGTCCCTGGTATTGCTGAATTTTATGTATGCTGTGATGACATACTCTTTTAACTCTGTTTTTGATTTCTTGTAGTCTGGTTTTCATCCTCACTACATTTACCAGTGAACTTTCCCTTGTGTCCATCCATCCAGTCTTTAGTGACTTCCTTCTCTATAACGGGCTTTAATGTCTGTTCTTAATTAGTTTTCTCCCTCATTCCTGAACTTCTTCAGTCTTCCTTGAATACTGAGGTTCTGCCATCCCTCTTTCTATCACCATACAATCCACAGGACCTTCTCCTAAATACCTGTTTAGTTCCTATATCCAGTATGTAGGTGACCTCATGTAGTTTTGTCATTTTAATTTCAGTTCATTTAATTTTTTTCTTTTTCCTTTACAACCCTGGTGCCACCAGTTTTTCTCAATGTTCTCACCTTCTTTATTTTTCCCTTTCTTCAAGCCCATCTAATCTTTTCAAAATAGACCAGTTAAATTAACTTTCTTCAGCTGCTGTTCTAGTCACATCATCTTTTAATAACTCTACATGAGTTCCACATCCCCTCCTATGTTCCTTCCTAGCACTTAAACTTAATGATGGCAGTCATTCTGTAAATTCAAAAGCCTTGCATTCAGTAAAATGCAACCAATTTGTAGTCTATACAGAAAAGGTTGAATAATAAAAAAGGGATGAAGACCTGGAGAGCGTGTACTTAGCAATGAAAAATTAATAATAAAAAAATTAAAAATTAGACTCAGCTAAAATTAGTATACACTTGTCCTGTGTATTAATTAATTGTGCTTTTGTCTATATCCTATAGAACTGTCTTATATGAGTGCTGTCCTGGCTATATGAAGATGGATGGTACGAGAGGATGTCCTGCAGGTACAAGCTTATTTTCATATGGATGAGTCAGTATATGAGAAGCATTACAACACAGGAGACTTTCAAAGGTGGTCATCTTGAGAAATGATTGCCTCTTTTTAAAAATTACTGCCTGAGAATACACAGCTTCATTTGCATACAGCTAACACAGTTAAAAATCAGCCAGCACTGAATTTGGTCATGCAGTTTAAGTTGAATTTCCCAGCTCCTTCCAGTTGCTGGATTGGAGAGGAATGATAGTGTCTTCAGTTCCCAAAGCTGCCAAAGAAGAACTTTTATTCCTATTCCAATCACGCCCCAGAATAACCTAACGCATACCAGTGAGGTCAGAAACCCAGGACATGAGGTGTGGCATATCTAAATTCTGTTTATTCCTTTTCCTGAGAAGACTTGAACCGTATTTACTAAAAGAGTGTTATAGGCTTTAAATAAACTAAGAAGGAGTGAAAATGAAGACAGGAATTCTTGATTTCTTCTATTCGTGCTATTCTGCTTTGCATAAATAAAATTAATTGCAGCAGGGAAGAGTAATCTGGGAAGGAATATATTAAATAACTTTAGATCCCTATAGCTGAACTAATCCTTTTAGGTTCAGTAATAGAGTTAGGCATATCCGAGGCAGGCTTCAGTTTGTTTAGATGAATTAATCTCACTTTAGTTGTTTACATTAGGATGAGGTCAGTCACACTCTAGAATTGCCCGTTCCCCTCCATGACCATAAAAAGAGCCAAGAACAACTAGCTCACGTGCAGATGCTTCACTTCTAGATGCCTAGAATCAGGAGAGATTAATCCTGTTCTCATGTAGCAGTGTTTTAACTGTGAGACTATGGCCATTCTTACTCTCTGGATGAATCAATATATGCACAAACCACACACTGGAAGAAGAGAAAGAGGCCTCACAGGAAGAATTCTGGTGCACCGTGACCAAATGAGACCCACTTCATTGAAATTTTTGTTGATTATAGATGGAATTTACTCCTGTCCTCAGTGGATTACTTCCTATTTCAGGTTGGGTTGGCACAAAACAAGACAACTCATCTAAAGAAAACATTACAATATTTGTTTTTTTGATCTAATTTTTCATTAAGCAAACCAAAAAAATAAATAACAAGCAGATGCATTTAGATGGTTTTTGAGTATGTTGACAATGGAATTGTAATCCAACACATTGTTTTAATATTGATTTAAACAGTTTCAGAAAGGCAATACTATTGTCCAATGAAAAGAAATGGAGTAGATTTGATTGTGAGAAACTGACTGAAGAGTTTACAGTATTCTTATCTCATGTTTATTTTAGTTGCTCCTATTGATCATGTATATGGTACACTTGGTATTGTGGGAGCTACGTCCACACAGCAGTATTCTGATATATCAAAGCTGAGAGAAGAGATTGAGGGACGAGGATCATTCACTTTCTTTGCACCAAGCAATGAAGCCTGGGAACAATTAAATTCAGTAAGGCTGTGTGTGTGTGCGCGCATGCATGTATTAAAGTGTGTTTCTCTTTCAGCTAATGTTGTTTTAGCTGCAACAGCTAGTCTATGATAAGGTAGACTAGAAAAAATATTGATATTTTAGATATAAAAGGACATTAAACAAGTTATTATAAAATAATTTGCATGTTTAACGTACATTGCTGAAGCTAGAGAGTCTGAATTTATTTTCAGGAGTACTAAGCAACTGTAAGTGTTTCTTATTTAAGCACTTGAATGACAATTAATAATATTGTTAGTGTTATTAGCATAACTTTGGAAACTGACAGGAATTCCAGCAATTGCATGATGTAGAGTATAATTGTAATTTGCCAGTGATTCAGGTGTCCTTCTTTAAGTAATGTTTTTAGTTAAATAAATATTGAATCAAAGCTCCTCCAATGACTTGTCTGCGATGAGACCTCTTGTCTTCCATTTGTGAGCAAATCAGACTAAAGCATCATTTAAGTAGAGCCAGACTGATACGTATCAAAGTCATGTCTCCTAACAGGAAATATCCATTGTTGAATATATTGAAAGCACATGTTAAGGTAAAGCAATATGTACAACTTTCTGACTGGAAGAATGTTTTGAACCTTCTAATTAATTAAGTTCCTTTCTTCTTCAGGAAATTCACAGAAATTTGGTTGACAATGTAAATATTGAACTGTATAACGCTCTCCACCACCACATGGTAAACAAACGCATGTTGACAAAAGATCTTAAGAATGGCATGAATCTGGTGTCTATGTATAATAACCAGAAATTGCTTATTAACCATTATCCTAATGGGGTAAGTCTATTCTCTTTTTTTTTTTCCCTAATATAATTATTCAGTTATAGTCATTAGTCTTTCCTTTATTTCCTTCTATAGCTAAGAAAATAGGTTATAGAAAGTTTAACATCTAGCAAGTCAGTTGCCACTGACAAAAATAAATAAATTTTCTCTTGAAGAAATTTTGTCTGCTGTGTAGACTAATCACTAAGAAAAAATTAATGAGCATGTGCTGTTTGCTGTTTAGAAATTGAAGTTCAAATGAGAATGAACTTTCTTCCTAAAAGACAAAGCCGTTTATGGCCAAAATATATGATCATAATAAAACTGAGAGCAAAATCTACTACTAATCTTCATGTGTTTACAAAATAATATTAAATCAGATCTTTTATTTGAATTGCACACATCTATTATTTAGCTGGAAAACAAAACATTTTTATAAATGCTAGAAATATCTCAGTCAAGTCGCTCTTCTTTGTTGCCTTAAATGCATCAAAATGTTTATGTTGGACTACAGTTTACATCAGTAAAAGCCAATACAATCACCATATTAACCAGATATGCAAAACAAATCTGAATAATCGCAATAAGAAATGAAACATGGATATGAAATCAATGTAGCCTGAATAAATCTGCTGCTAGCTTTCCAGAAGCTTAGTCAGCCTTTCAAATCTTACAAGGTTTTACTTAAAATTTAAAATAAAAACTGAAAGAACAACAGTGAATACATAATGTACAGTACATACATTGCCAATCTCTAAGAATCAGATTCTAAGTATATGATCAAATTAATGCTTAATCTTCTACTGCTTGATTCTTCAAATACAGGTTGTTACTGTTAACTGTGCCAGGGTCATCCATGGCAACCAGATTGCTACCAATGGTGTTGTTCATGTCATTGATCGTGTCCTGACCGCTGTTGGAAATACCATTCAAGATTTCATTGAAGTCGAGGATGATCTTTCATCTCTCAGAGTAAGTGGACAAAAATAAAAACGCTTCTCTGGTTTTTAGTTTTTTCTTCTTTCTTTTCTGTTTGTGTATGATACCTGGAAGTAAGAAGGGTTAGTTCAGTAAGAGATAGAAAAAAATTAAATTAATAACTCCAGCTAATATTGCTAATCTAGCTATATAAAAAGGCAAAGTATATTTTACATAAGGAGTCTGCTTCTGGTCTTTTGTGGACAAATAAGACCATATCAGTAGGACAGAATGTGTCCCTGTACATAAAAAAGTGTGTCTTCTGTTCAAGCACTGAAGTAATGAAACGTGTGAGCATTAGTTAGAGTGTCTGGTGCTAGATAAATAAGAATAATTTCAAAATGGATCATAGAAAATGGTAAAAACCCCAAATAAATTCCAGAAGCTGACTCATAGCAAGTTTCAGAACACCAGTAGATACACGTAGGTAGGTTTTTTCTTTCAGAGAGGAAACAGGTTTTTTTCTGTCCAAGTTTCTAATTTCTCCTTCTTCTAGAAGTTGTGTCTGCTTAGTGTAATGGGAGCTCATGCTGCACATGTTTAAAAAAATATGCCATGGTCTTGCAAATAGCTGTTGTCCTTTTCCCTTCTCTATCTCCTCAATAAATACAAAAAAATATTTTAAATGCAGAGGCATAAAGGTGGAAAAGACCCTCTCAATCCCTCAAATCTGGTCCATGACAGTTATAGGCAACCGCATCATTTAATCCCTTTAAAAAACCTGAATATAAAAGCCAACCCTTTCTAGTCTCCAGCTGAAAAAGAAGCCCTCTCTATTTCATTTTTTCCTGTGCACTCTTTCTTGTATCTTTTCTATTTGGGTTTAACTTTTGTGAACTGTAAGCAGACATTTTCACCTAATCCTATATAAGGTCTTACTTGTTTCTTTTATACTAACTTGCATACCTCCCTAACTCTGCTTGAAAAAAACTTACTGGCTTCCAGGATACATGCTAGCATCGTGCTTGTTTTTGTTTCAGTTGCATCACATTGCACTCTGCCTTTCTGACTTTTCAAAGGTGAAGTCTCTGTTTATAGCACATACACCTGCTAATTCCTGTGTGAGTGCTTCTGCACTTCATACTGCTTTAATGACTTTGGCTCCAAAAGCAAATGTGCTATTGAAACCATTAAGCAAAATCAGCCCTGAAACTCTGATACGACATTTCTTTTAGGATGGTTATTCTCATCTTCCAGTTTGCCAGTTTCATATGCACTTTATCTTTCTGTCTTACATTGAGCTAATAGTATTTCATATTTAACTCAGCAAATTCATTGCTCAAGTCCATATGTGTTCAATTTTACATATGTTCTTTTTCTAGCAAATCTGTTCATAATTTATATTGGCATACTCTATCATATTACCATTTTAATCCATCATACATTCTCACAATATCTTTGATTACTTTTCCTGCATTGTTCTTTTTCTTCAGTCTTTGATTCTAATGAGGACAGGTTGCAGCCACCAAAGAAATACATATTGTTATAGTATTGTCTTTTAGGATTAATCCAATAATGGAAACACCCAAATTGTGAGGCTGTACAAAGGAGACTTATAAGCAAATTAAGAAGATTTCTTTAAGGAATAAAAGGGAAATTATATTTTTTTGAAAAATATTGAACTGGGGTTTGTTTAGTTCAGACTGCTTACCTCTTCTTCTTACCTCACCTCAGAAAGTAGAGAATTTTTCATTAGTTGTGTTTAACTTTACTTTTTTAATGTCCAGAACTGAGTAACATTTTAGGGACTAAAAACCTGGAGATAATTTTTCCTGGCCTCAAAGCCTGAGATAGAATAGAATAGAATAGAATAGAATAGAATAGAATAGAATAGAATAGAATAGAATAGAATAGAATAGAATAGAATAGAATAGAATAGAATAGAATAGAATAGAATAGAATAGAATAGAATAGAATAGAATAGAAACCTTGAGCCATTCCCACTCATCCTGTCCCTGGCTACCAGGGAGAAGAGATCAGCACCTCCCTCTCCACTTCCCCTCCTCAGGAAGCTGTAGAGAGCAATGAGGTCGCCCCTCAGCCTCCTGTTGTGATTCAAAACCTCCTCCTTGTATTTAATCAAATTAGTCATACACCTGTGATACATTTTTTTATTATTTCTGGGACAAATTATTAGCTTTGATAGACTATTGCTTTGATCTAATTTATCAAAACCGTATGTTCACATTTGTCACTTAAAAATTCAGGCCATAATAATAAAAATTTCTGCCCTGTTGTCACCTCTATTAGAATTTATTGATTACTGTGTGCTAAATTAAGGAAGTAACTCAGTATAGCAAGACACGTTTTCCCACAAAATTAGTTTTCTATTCCTTTGTCAATTCATTTTTTCATCTTTCTATAACACTGATCTCAGTCTAGCATTAAAGTACCTATGGGCACTAGGTGAAACTAGACAGATAATGTATTTTGGTAATATTTTAAATAACCAGCATTGAAAACCAAATTTATTTTCTAGGCTGCTGCCATCACATCAGATGTCTTGGATATTCTTGGAAGGCCTGGTCATTACACACTTTTTGCTCCTACTAATGAAGCTTTTGAGAGACTTCCAAGGGGGGTCTTAGAAAGGATCATGGGTGACAAGGTGGCTTCTGAAGGTATGTAACCTTTTTTTGCAAATGAGAAATACAGGTGAGTAGATCAGGAGGTAGAAACTACATTATCCTAGTAGCTCTGAAATTAGGCGCCTGTACTTTCATACATATAGGAGGAGTTATTTCTTCTGTCTCTGATTTTTCCAGCTACCTAAGGATTCAAATTTACTGAAAACTTAGTTTCCAAAACAGTTTAAAGGAAACTGTGAATATATGGGCACACTGATGTTTCTAATAGGTCAGCTACATAGTTCCAATAGAGATTCCTGCCTCTAGAAATGCAGGGCTATCTGAATGTCATAGCTTTCCCATGAACAGCTTTTTCATACAAAAAGGACATGATCTTGTAAAAGGCAAATTCTGCCCTGCAAGTTGAACTGAATTTATACTATATATTCTGACAAATCATAACAGTCAGCACATTTATTCTTCTGAGAACTACAATAAAACTAAATAATAACTGAATCAGTCTGTTATGTGAACAGTAGTGTAATGGACCACTAAGAAATGGATGGCTACATTTCTATTCTCATTTAGGAGCTCCACTGCAGTAAACAAGCTCTCCATCATTTCATTATAGCCTGATTAAGTCACTGTACAGTATCTCAATGGAGAATGGTGAAAAGAGGGATCTGGGCTAATTTTAATGTGAGACAATGGCTAAAAATGGAATCCTGAAATAACACGCCATTTTTGTTGTGGCTTTTTTATTTTTTTTTCAGTTTGCTTCCAGGAGTTTTTGGCTGATTCTTTTGGTACCCACAGAGGATAGTATACTGAATCTCACTTATATAGTAAGGCATAACAAAATATAAATCTGGGGCTGACTTTGCATAGCCTATAGAGTTCTCTACTCAGAGGTCCATTTGGAGCATATCATCTGCAGTCACCAAGTTATATACTCTGTTACACGCAGATCGCAGCATAACCAGTATAGTTTTCATAATATAAGGGATGCCAAAGATTTTTGACCATAGATGTTGTTTAGAGGCCTATAGTATCAATTCTCATATAAATAACTTTCAATAAAGAATTGATGAGTGCAAATAAGCAAATATGCTAGATAAGCTAGTAAAGTATTAAAAATAGTGTAGATGTAATAATTTATCCCACACCTATATGTGAATTTTATATATATATATGAATATATGTGTCCAAACACCTATATATGAACTTCCTGCTTTTTTATCCACAGCTCTCGTGAAGTTCCATATTTTAAATACTCTCCAGTGCTCTGAAGCCATCACAGGTGGAGCTGTCTATGAAACCTTGGAAGGAAACACAGTTGAAGTTGGTTGTGATGGTGAAAGTCTGGTTGTGAATGGAGTGAAGATGGTGAAACGCAAAGATATTGTGACAAGCAATGGCGTTATCCACCTCATTGATGAAGTGCTAATTCCTGATTCTGGTCAGTGATGTGTATGAAAAACTTCTTACACTGAAGAGGTTTTCTACAATCTTACCTAGATTCCCTCAAATATATTGTGGATAAGCATGGAGAATCCAAATCAGGAAAGGGAATAAATTTTGTGTTAAAATACCTTTTCTTATTCCTTTATTTGCAGCCAAGCAAGTCATTGAGCTTGGGGGTGCCCAGCAGACTACTTTTACAGAGCTGGTGGCACAGCTAGGACTGGCATCTTCTCTAAGACCAGAAGGACAATACACTCTCCTGGCACCTCTGAATGGTGCTTTCTCAGGTTAGTAGCCTTAAAAGATTATGCTCTGAATGTCAAAATAAACAAGAATGTATGCTACCCTGACAGTTTTCCAAATAAGCCCCAGTACTTGCTCTAAGTCCCAAGGAAAGAGAGACGTAGAGAAACAGATGCTTCATCCTTTTGAAATGCATACCATGCAGAAAGACAAAACAAGCCTAACCACCAGGCTGCACAGCTTGTTTTTAGTGGTATCATTTGTTAATCGAAATAGTGTCACTAAAATAGGATACAAAATATGCACAGACAGATTGTGGGAAAGGAAAGATATTAAAAACCTGCCAGTTCCCTTAATCTTTGCATTACTTGCATTAAATTCACAACTTATTTATTCTCAAAAATTTCTACAAGAAGGTTGGTATTTTCCAGTACAGTAAAGCAGAGAGAAACTGATACAAATATATAAACAGGTGTTTACGTATTTGCAGAAGTGACCACATGGGCATGCTGCCCTTCCCCAAAGAATTTGAGTGTTAACTCACCACCACAGAAGCAAATTTGGAAAGGTTTTAAGGTGCACATGCAGAAAGGAAAAGTTGTAATAAGAACTTCAGCAGTAATTCAGAAGATGGAGCAGGCCCACATATAAATCATCTGCCGTATTATTTATAGTAATTAATCAGGGCTATGTCAAAAGTTTATGTCTGAATTTAAGGAATGGCAATTTGCAGAAACTACTTAACAATTTATTTTCTGTGTACACAGATCTGTCCAAGCCTTAACTCAAACATTTCAAAGAAAGATTCCGTATTTCCATGGTCTTTTAATATAGCGTCCACAGTTAACCTTATTTAAATGAAAATTCACTATACAAATCACTATACATTAATATCTAAATGGCTTTATAGATGACACCTTAAGGATGGATCAACGCCTTCTTAAAACGATCCTGCAGAACCACATTATAAAAGTGAAAGTTGGGCTCAACGAACTGTACAATGGACAAGAACTGGAGACAATTGGAGGAAAACTGCTTAGAGTCTTTGTGTATCGCACAGTAAGTGAATGGGGCTTTCTAACAGTATGTATCCCAATGAAAATGAAGAATCATGAAAGAATAAAAGACAAAGCTGAATGAAATCTCTGACATTTACCATTATGACTATCTAGCAAAAAATCTTTAAGCTTTTAAGCTAGGAAAAAATGAAAATCTAATCTTTATCGACGGGAACTTTGTTTGCATGGAAGACTCTTTGGGAAAACGAAACAGGATTCCAGATTTGGCACTCCAAATTACACAACTACAAATTTTTAAAGCTAGTTTTTAGAACTAATTAAGAACATTCTCAAGGGAAACAAAAAATATCAAGTTTGGAAATATTTACACCATATTAACTTACTCTAGATTTTGCTACTTTTGCTTTCTCAAGCAATACCAGATTTCCTGGCAAGAACACAGAATCTGACTGTAGGAAATACATATGAATATTACTTTTAAATTTAGGAGCCTGTTGGGAAGTATGGACCCAGCTCATTTTATCAAATATGATTAAATGTGTATCATTGTGTGCATAGCTACAGTTGTTTCTTTTTTAATCAGGCTGTATGTATTGAAAATTCATGCATGGTCAGAGGAAGTAAAGAAGGAAGGAATGGTTTTATTCACATCTTCAGACAGATCATCAATCCAGCAGAAAAGACATTGCATGAAATGCTGAGAAATGATAAGCGTTTTAGGTGAGTAGCAGTTTTGACAGCACTGAGATTTTCCTACAGAAGGTAACTGTATATACAGCACAGCTGGTCTGAGAAAGTGGACTGTGGGTTGTTGGATTTTGGGGGGCAGAGATGGCAAGGAAGAGGTTATTACCTCCTCAAAAAAAAAGGGGGGGGAGGGAGGGGGAGGGAGAAAAAGTGTTCTTCTCCAGCTGTATGCTGAAAGGGCTCCCAGACTTTATGCTAGAATGGTTGTTTACAGCACATAGGAGTCAGTAAGACACCAGAATGAGAGGATTAAGAGGACAAAAGGGATTGGATGATACATCCAGAACTGTAAATGCAGCGGAGTCTGGAGGTTTAATTAACAAGTAGTACAATTCCATACGGGTGCAGCATGATTGCATACCCTTCCAGTACATATTTCTGTCCCCTTCCTGCAAGTATCTCAATACTCTTAGAGAGAGCAACTACCCTTGGCATCCTCCCTTCACCTCTTTATCTGTGGGGTTTTTATTCGATGAATTCTGCTCTGATCCAGGCTGCCAATATTTCTTTTTTTCTCAAATCCTTTTTTCCCCTCAGTCTGCTACTCTTAAGACTGTCTCTTTTTCCCTCATTTTCCTCCTCCACTGTCTTTATTTCTGGGAAATAGTGAGAGTGTTTGAAGATTGATGCACTATCAGAAAAAATGAGGGAACTAAGTGCCTGGACCGAAGTATAGTTACTACATTTCAACAGAATATATTTGTGTTTTGTCTCTTTGTTGTAAACAGTGTTTTCCTCAGTCTGGTGAAAGCTGCAGATTTAGATGATGTTCTGTCACGTCCTGGACAATGGACTCTGTTTGTTCCAACTAATGATGCCTTTAAAGGTTTGACTGATGACGATAAGGATATATTGATAAGTAAGTACCATAAGAAAACGAGAAATATAAGCAAAGGTAAAATCGATGGGAAAGGTGGCTAGTGCATTTCTTATTGTCTGATAAAACAATTTACCTTTTGCATAGAGCAGGTCATAAGAATTCCCTAAATTACTTCCTTCTTGGGGGACAGAGAAAATACCTTTTTGGAAAAAAGCATCCAACCTGAATTTAAATTTAAATGTCAAGCCTTGATATATTATTCCAAGGTGTAATTACCTTCCCAGTTAAAATCTGCATTCATTTAATTAGCTTCAACTTTTTATCATTCAACCTTGCTATAGATTTTTTTAAACTGAAAAGTCTCTTCTATCATGTTTCTTTTCTAGTTGTGACCATTGCATCAATAGATACGTAGTATTGACTTTCCTATCTTTCTTCCTTTCTCTTCTCTGCCTCCACCCAGTGAGCTCTGATATCACCTGTGCTCTACAAGTTAAATATTGAATATATATTGCTAAATGCCAATTTATGTAATTTCTTTTCATCTTACACTTTTAAATTCTTGAATTATATAGATTTTTCACAAGATTTAAAAGTAGCTTCTTTAATGTCATGCTTTATTTCCATAAGAGAAGAAATGCACAGTGAATACTTCAAATCTCCCGCAGAATTTCCCACTAGAGGGGTAGACTGTGGCCACAGCACTGTAAATATTTTTATTTTATTTGAAAGTAATGTGAATCTGGCCTGTGCACAAGTGCAGGAGGAGTGGTTGTCTTGAATCTCACATCCAGAAGGTCAGTCACATTTTCCGTTCCTGCACTTTTCAGATCAAAGTTTGAAGACATGAAGCCAAATCCCATGAATCCCTAATGACTTCAAAGAGTCCAGCTCAGAGCATTGTTAAGCAGCAACCCCAGCTCTATACAGCCTTTAACTCACGAAGGAGGCACTGTGAATTTGAATTATCTTTTCAGCCATTTAAAGTTATGATAGTGGTCTAAATTACCTTCTAGTGTGGTGTGTCTCTAGTCACTAACAGTAAATTAACTGATGGCTTAAATGACTAACATTTGATAGCTATAAAATGAAATTAAGCTTGTCTCTTTCATTCTGCTTTTCAAGGGGCTTTATGTACTAATTTTTCCTATCATTGTGACTCAGTTTCTACTTACTTTCCTTGCCAGATGAGATTTTAATTTACCCTCATTATTTTTTTGCAACAGAATATCCATTTTTTGTGTCAGATTACTTTCTGGAATTCTGTCTTGTCTTTCTTTAAAGACATTATGTTGCTTTCTCCATAAAAATTAAACCTTAAAATATGTAATTTTTTAAAGGAATATAAAAAATACTTTATTATCTGTAAGAAAGACACAAAACAAAGATTACTTTAACCAGTAAACATTGTGGCATAGAACAAAGGTAATCTGATAGTTTGTGAAAACAGCTTTTGAATGGCCATGTTTAGGCTTTGTATGTAACTTGACGCTATCTATGAATGGTCCAGCCACAAAATCTCAGTGCTAATTTTAGTAGGAAGAAAAAAGAGCATTTAATTACATTTCAGTAGTAAAGTGAATTGCAGTAATATCAGTGATCAAAGCAAAAAGCAGAAAAAGGAAAACGTTCACTGAAAGAGACACCAGGAAAAAATTATAACCAGACAGTATTTCCATTGCAGTTTCATCAAGGCTGAAACTCCTAATAACAATCAATATCAGCATGTAATGCTAATATGAAACTTGTAAAGGAATGGTCAACCTGGCAAGCAGATGTGTTTTAAAACTCCTCTGCTTGGTACCCTGTCTCCTGGGGAGGTTGTGGGTATTCCTACAGCCCATCCTATGACTCCGAACCTCCGTGGACCCAGAGTACCAGAGCGCCCTGTCAGGACACTAACATGGGCTCCAGAATCCATTTCCTTTTTAGGACAGTCTTGAAAATGTTGGCTTTTTTTCTTTTCTTCCCAAATAGGAATGTCAAACTTTGAAATACGGAAGTCATCCCTAGAATAGGGTTTATTTCCCCTTTCCCAACTTCTCCAAGCTGCGTCTGTTCTCTGTAAGAACAGACAAAAGCAAAACTCCAAATGACTCCTTCTTTTCTGCCTGAAGTAAATAGCAACTTTCTCCTGCCCTAGATCGGAAAAGGTGTCTGTATAGAAAGAGTTGTGAGTTATCCCCAGTCATCTCAGAGGGGTGTTTCCATAAGAGAATAATTATATCAATTGTTAGCTATGTTTCCCTTTAACTGCAACAATGTTAAGGCTGGAGTTTATCTTGTAGCTTGGTGAAATATGATATTGTCGACTGCTTAGTAGTCCTGAAATTAATGTGTTTGCAAATGATTTGCGGAGCATATTTAAGAAAAGGGCAAAAAATTCTGATTAGAGGTGCAAGCAATTAAGAGAAAATAATACAGAAAAATAGGAAAACGCTGGCTGCTTTTCTGTTCTTTTGTATAGGAGTTCTCATAGCATCCTTATGATTATATTCTGGGTGCCTTTTTGTCATATGGTTGTTTTTTTCCCTTTATCATAATTTTAACAAATTCAAATGGTATGTGTTCATGGTGGTTTCATTCATACTATGCTTAATTCTTGCTCAAACCTGTGTGAATCCTTAGAATTTCCAGAAAGAACTATCCATTACCATTTAATTTTTAATCCTACTTTTCTTTTCTTTTTAAATAGGAGACAAAAATGCTCTCAGGAATATTCTTCTTTACCACTTGACACAAGGAGTTTTCATTGCAAGTGGCTTTGAGCCTGGTGTGACAAACATTCTTAAAACCATCCAAGGAGGGAAACTCTACTTGAAAACAGTTAAGTGTTGAAAAACAGTCTCCCTGACGCAGCCTTGTGACAGGGATTTGACATTCCGTGTATATCCACATTACAGAATGGGATGCATTTCTCTGAATATTATATTAGGGTTTGGGGTCGTTTTTTAATGTCCCTGATAACTTGTGTTCTCTTTTCATCCTTTACCAGGTGAATGATACTCTTGTGGTTAATGAACTGAAATCAAGAGAATCTGATCTCATGGCAACCAATGGTGTCATTCATGTTATTGATAAACTCCTATATCCAGCAGGCGAGTATTAGTTCATGGAATTTATACACACTCTTCTGAATCTGTTTACATGTTACGTAGGTGCAATAACTTAAAGTTAATTCCTTTAAAGAAATTCCTGTATGGAATAAGAAACAGAAAATTCACCTCACTACTCATTTTGTGGAAGAACCTTGCTTGAAACCATGGCAACTCTTTGAAACTCTGTGAAAGAAGTATATGGAAGACAAGATGCTGTAGGCCATCTTCCACTAATATGGAAGAATGTATATGTACAAGTACAAGATTGTGTGAGTGTTTGAGAGTGACTACATCTCCTAATCACTGTAAATGAAAGTAAAATGAACACATGTATGTTTCCTCTTACGTGTCTATTTCTTTTATCAGATCTGCCTGTTGGAAATGATCAATTGCTCACAATCCTGAAGAAGTTGATTAAGTATATTCAAATCAAGGTACTCTTTAAATAATGATCCCTTCATCTTTTTGGCAGGATCTGTGAAACCATGTACCTTATAATTCATAAGTGATTCTCTGGCCCCTCTGTTTCTTCAGCAGACAACACATTCAATAGCTCTCAGTTACCCAAATATAATAATGAATGATACACTGCACTCAATAGTTAGAATTTATGTTTTTCAACACCAAATAATTGTAGAATATTTGCTTTTAGATAACTTCAATGGGACCTGGCCCAAATCTGTTCTTTGGTTCAGGTATACTTTATCACTCCAGCAAAATAAATCACTTCTAAATCCTTGAGACAATCCCTCTTTGAAAGAAATATTGTGTGGCTAAGTTGCTATGTCATTGAACCCACCAGCCTCAATAGCCTGTGGAGAAAAATAGGCATCCTTATCTATCTCAGCTATCCTCTTGAGATTACATTCTCCTTCAACAATGAATGAGAGGACCTAGGCAAATATCATAGCCTAACTTTTAGATCAATGAGGCAGTGAATCCTACCCACACTCATTAGGAAACTAGATGGCAAGTGTTCTTTTTTTAAATTTTAAAATTACTTTTCTGTATTTATAGTTTGTTCGTGATAGTACCTTCAAAGAGATTCCACTGACGTTTTACAGTAAGTTCATAGTGATTCTCCCCCTCTGTTTCTTCAGCAGACAACACATTCAATAGCTCTCAGTTACCCAAATATAATAATGAATGATACACTGCACTCAATAGTTAGAATTTATGTTTTTCAACACCAAATAATTGTAGAATATTTGCTTTTAGATAACTTCAATGGGACCTGGCCCAAATCTGTTCTTTGGTTCAGGTATACTTTATCACTCCAGCAAAATAAATCACTTCTAAATCCTTGAGACAATCCCTCTTTGAAAGAAATATTGTGTGGCTAAGTTGCTATGTCATTGAACCCACCAGCCTCAATAGCCTGTGGAGAAAAATAGGCATCCTTATCTATCTCAGCTATCCTCTTGAGATTACATTCTCCTTCAACAATGAATGAGAGGACCTAGGCAAATATCATAGCCTAACTTTTAGATCAATGAGGCAGTGAATCCTACCCACACTCATTAGGAAACTAGATGGCAAGTGTTCTTTTTTTAAATTTTAAAATTACTTTTCTGTATTTATAGTTTGTTCGTGATAGTACCTTCAAAGAGATTCCACTGACGTTTTACAGTAAGTTCATTTTAAATATTTCCAGATGGGTTTGAGATTGCTTTTTAAATGTTGCCAATTCTAATCTTGAATTGTAGATCTTTTTTTCAATCAAGAAGAAAGCAATTTCTGGGAAAGTAAGATGTGCCAATGAAGCACAGGAAGAGAAAGACTCAAAGTAGAATGTTTCTGGCTGTTGTGCTACTGTATGTATTTTTTTCCCTTTCCAGATGTGTGACAGGAAAGTAACCTTGAAGTAAGCTGTTCAAACTCTTTGGGGTAGGCAAGATACATATGGAAAAGATTGTTTTTTTCAGTTTTTAGCCAAGGTTCAGTGCTTGGTGTGTAGCAGAGTTATACTGCCTCTCTCTCCAAGACGTAACATTGTACTGTACTGACTCACCAAGATGTAGCATTGACCAAGCTCTGCACTGAGATGCTTTCTTTTTCATAAACGCTTCCAGAGTGTACCTGTTCCACCTGTTTCCCATACGTGCAAATATGAGGCTTGTATGGGAGGTAGTTGTTCTGACCATTTTCTCTTTAGGGAGTAAATGTAAAAAAGGAACCTCTTTTGCTCTCCTGCAGCCTTTCTCAGGGTTTGCATTTAGTTTCTGCATATAAAGTAGAACCTCTTGAAGCAAACTGTCAGAAGATAAAGATCCTGCTGAAGCATTGGCTTGTGAGGGAATATGAATTTAAGCAGATGATTAAATTTCTATAGGATTCTACCCACATTTCTCAGTAGAAATAGAGACCATCACATTAGGCTTTTGAAAATTGAGAACGGACACACTGAAGTTAAAAGACTCTTGGAAAAAAAAATGGAATAATCTATGTTGATAGCAGGTTGAATATGAGTCAACAGTGCGCCCTGGCAGCCAAAAGGGCCAACCGTGTCCTGGAGTGCATCAAGCACAGCATAGCTAGCCGGTCAAGGGAGGTGATTATCCCACTCTGCACTGCACTGGTGCAGCCCCACCTCGAGTACTGTGTACAGTTTTGGGTGCCTCAATATAAGAAGGACATCAAACTATTACAGTGTGTCCAGAGGAGTGAGACCAAGATGATGAAAGGTCTTAAGGGCAAGACTTACAAGGACCAGCTGAGGTCACTTGGCTTGTTCAGCTTGGAGAAGAGAAGGCTGAGGGGTGACCTCATTGCAGTCTACAACTTCAAGGGGAACAGCAGAAGGGGAGGTGCTGCTCTCGTCTCTCTGGTGACCAGCAATAGGACACGAGGAAATGGAATGAAGCTGCACCAGGGGAAGTTCAGACTGCACATTAGGAAAAGGTTCTTCAATGAGAGGGTGGTCGGTCACTGGAACAGGCTCTTCAGGGAAGTGGTCACGGCACCAAGCCTGTCAAAGTTCAAGAGGCATCTGGACGATGCTTTTAGTCATATGGTTTAGTTTTAGGTAGTCCTTTGAGGAGCAGGGAGTTGGACTTGATGATCCTTATGGGTCCCTTCCAACTCGAGCTATTCTGTGATTCTATCTCCCACGGCCAGTGAGAGTAGCATGAGAAGCAATGCCTGTAAACTGAAGGAAGGGAGGTCAATGTCAGACATCAAGAAAGTTGTAACTGTTGATTTAGTTGAATGTGGGAACGGGAAGGCTGGGACGTCTAACAGTGAAGGCTTCTCTACCAGTGAATGGATACGAGTCAAATAATGATCTATCACAAATGTTCAATGAATACTTGAGTCTGTCTTAGGTGTAGAGGGACAACTTGATCTCCCAAGGCACCACAGTCATGCTCTCTGTGACATTCTATCAAGTGTAACATAGTTCTGAATGTCAGAGGGTTTCCTCTGTTTACCAGGTCAGCTCCCTAATGAGAAGAAAAGGGCAAGATTCAAATTTAAGATAACGTCAGGGAATTGTGCAAATCTTTATGCAGGGAACTGTATGAGCCATTATTATTATGTACCTTACATTATCATGGGTTTCATGACCAGTGGGTTTCGTAAGGCACAAACAAAGGCAAATAGCATGCCAGCAGACTCTGTCTGCAGGTGACTTGTGTACATCACCATTTAGTAACTAGAACTGAGATCCATACTCTAGATCCTCTTGAGTTACTTTTCCATCCATTAATATCTGTGATTTTATCCACATCTTTACGACCAGACCACATTTATCTGATCATTACCATAAAGAAACTGTAAGAATGGAATGTGCTTTATATTCCATTTTCTATACTTTCAGAAATTAACATAATTGAAAGCAACGTCCAGCCCATCATCAGAAAGGAAGGTAAATGAGGCCCTTAGTATATATATTTCTGTATATGTTCATATACATATACAGAATATATATTGTATATATTTCTTCAACAGGATGCATTTTGTACATAACAACTCCAGGACATTCAGCACTTTGCTGGAAAAGCAAAGATACAAATATTGCAATTAGAACTGGCTGAAATATTTTGTATAAAAAGATTTCCCACAGTTGTTCTCCCCAAATGGATTTTCTCCTTTTTCTATGTGCATTTTAAAAATATTTTTTAAATAATCTTTTTTCAAACCATTTCTTTTAAGTGCCCCAAATATTATTATATTTTCAATAAAAACATTTCCTTTTTTAAAAAATTAAAACAGTTATTTTAAAAAATGAAGTAGATATGTTTCTTCTTCGAAGAAAAAAAATCAGTTCATTTTTCTATAGTTTTCAATCAGTTCTAAATACCAATATCTGTCAGATGCCTGGAAAGGACAGTTAGCCAAACTTTCTTTTTCAATTTCTCAAGGCAAAAGCATGACTTGAAGATTAGTGGTGGGACTGAAGAGAATAAAAAGTGGGGCTGGGACTGTCAAAATCACTTCTGATTCATAACTTAACTAAAACACCCATTGGTTTCACTAAACCAGGTACACTGCTAATGAGCTCCAGTTTCCCATCGAAATAAAAATGTTCAAAGGGAATCTGGTTGAGCTCAACTGTGGGGAAAAGCAGTTAAAAATATCTTGCAAAAATTTTATCCAGACTGTTTAATCATTGTTTCTGGGAGGACTTCTTCCCGGCAGAAGTTACATGAGCTTGCTTTTTCAGCAGCTTGTCTGTGCTTTATCCCACTTAAGATTAGACACGATCTAGCATATATGCTGACCTTTGTTGCCTAGTCTCCATCATTACATCAGATCCACAGAGCAATATAAATGGATAGATGATTCCATGCAGTAATTAATCCAAGATATTTTAGAAGTCTTCCTATGATGAAGGTGAATCGCTCTCTGAAAGTACCTGGTTTTTTATGTTAAATCCAGAGACAGGGCATATAGTTTAGGTGATTTACATGGTGTTTAGAAGTTGAAAGTTAACTGAAACAAACCCCTCTTTTAAAGAAAAAATGAAATGTCTGAGCACTTCTCTAGTCAAATGTTCAACTAAGTGTTATTCACCAGAGAGAGAAAAAATAACTTTATAAGTTAGTGAGTATTGAAGAGTTACTCCTTTCCGTTGCCAGTACAGTGTTTCTGCTCTGGGACACGCTCCAGGGAATGATCTCTGGCCAATACAGCCTTTCTGCTGATGATTCAGAAATAGACCAAATAAAGCCAATTCTGGCCCTTCTGAGCTTGCTAGTAGTAACAGTAGTGAGCGGCAGCTCCTATCAAAACCACATAAGCCCACAACTGTCTGTAGAAAAAAGCTGGCAAAGTTGCACGTTAATTTTTGCAACATATGTCAGGAAGTTCTAGCAGATCGTGATTGAAAGACTTCAGTAAAAAAAGAAAAACCATCCCCACCCCCAAAGTTTAGAGGGTGATGTCTGCCCTTTCCTGTCTCAATGTTTTCTACTTGAGTTGTGCTTCCATTGTCTATACGTAGGCCAGTTAAAGGGATCTGAAGAGTTAAATCTGATTGAAACTCAAATCTTAATGGACTAAATGTTCAAAGGATTGATCCTAGACTGGGCAGTGTAGCAAACTATTGCTTTACCTTTTGTTTTGAGTACATCTGCTGTATTAATCACATAGGAAGGTACAGTAATTTAGAAATCTAAAAAAAAAAAAGGATTTATAAACATTCATAAATATATCTTTGACATTTTTTCATTAATATTCATCACTTGTATCAATGTATATTGGTATTTAATGGATTCTCAACATGCAAAAATGCCTCTAAATTTAAAACAGAAACAAGTGAATGAATCTTGTAAGATTGTTTCTTTAAAATATTTATGAATGTTTTTCAGCCAGACATGTTAGAAAATAAAAGAAAAAGCAATAAGTTGTTCACCTATTTAAAACTCAGAGTAGATGAATAGAGCTCTGTAATAACTGAGCATCATTATGATCCTATCATATCATCTCATCTGCAGAAAATAAATGAATTATTTAGCTCTCAAGTCTAACATACAATCATCTTCTGCTGCAAAAGCAAACAAAAATGTATGCTTGGATTTGTTACTATTGAAGGACACTAGTTAGCCTGAATTGTACTATTTTCAACAATTAACAGCAGGCACACGTGTAAAAAGCTATTGTTAAATCCTGATCAGTAATTTAAAAAAAAAGAAAAAATCTATGTAGTATCGACTTCTACATAAATTCATATAAAGAATGATTTTTTAAGAGATTTTTAAGGAAAGTGAGAAAGATGGACTGTGTTAAGTTTCTAACCGTGAATAGAGAATAAGGGAAGTGTGTGTTACAGCAGCTTCTTAAGTAGAAGATGTTGCCGCAACACTTGTTACAGAAGAACCATGTTATTCCTCTTAATTGACTGCATAAATGGTATGTTCCTAATTTATTTAGTATCTGCTGCTCCAGCCTGTCAGACAGACATACATTTGGATCAGTGTGGTCTATAGGGATTGCACAAGATTAAGAGGTTTGTTTTGGACATTGAAATCAAGATGACCTCTCCCATGCAACTCAAAGAATGAAAGCCATTAATGCTGACAAATATCCTTACAACCGTTCCATTTGATCACTGACTTTTTTTTTTTTCTTCTTTAAGCTGAGTGACCACTGGCCAAGTCTTGGTAGCTTAAAAAAAAAAAAAAAGCGCCAAATAAAATACCCCCAAAACAACAAATAAAAAACCCCCAAAACAACAAATACCCTCCCCCCCAAAAAAACCCCAACAAATTAAAAAACCCAAAACAACATAAGGGAATTCTGATTAAAAGACCTAGTTTCCTCTTGGACAGCTATACAATTAGTAGGAAATAACATGACAAACATTTGTCTCCCTAGTTCTTTTCTAAGCTTTCACACAATACTTTGCATGCCGATCACTAGCAGAGCAATAGCTATAAGATTCCAGCAATGCCGCAGAGTAGGCTTCTTACCAATATATGTAGAGGAAGACTTCCTTTCAGCTGCTGAGGATCTGTTTTTTGCCTGAGACTTGTCAACAGATGTTAAAAATATCATACACAAAAGTAAAGAAAAAAAATTGTAAATAGTAAGTGTGCAATAGGATCTAAATTTAAGATAACATGGAATGTTATCTTAACTTGCATGGAAGTGCAAGATTGTACAGCATTGTTGCAAATGGCTTCTCAGATTTAAAAAATCTTCTGTTAGAGTCATCTGGTTTCTTTAGGGTAGGGGGGATAATGCTAGCTTCATCTCAGCCCCATGGAATACCATAAATATTTTTATGACTATTTGTAACATGTTGTTTTTTTCCTATGTCACAGACCCATCTATCACACAGCTCACTAAATTAATTGAAGGGGAACCTGAGTTCAAAATAGTCAGGGAAGGGGAGACAATAACTAAAGTGATTCATGGAGGGTCTAGGGTAGGGGGGATAATGCTAGCTTCATCTCAGCCCCATGGAATACCATAAATATTTTTATGACTATTTGTAACATGTTGTTTTTTTCCTATGTCACAGACCCATCTATCACACAGCTCACTAAATTAATTGAAGGGGAACCTGAGTTCAAAATAGTCAGGGAAGGGGAGACAATAACTAAAGTGATTCATGGAGGTTGGTATGCTTTCAGCAACTCAATTTGCATTAGTTAAAATTTGAAATATTCACTATTCCCAGGCAGTTTCTACTTTATGTAGGTGATTCATGTGATATGTTAAACAACTGTTCTGTTTTTAACAAGACATTCTGGAAGTGTTGTAATTTTATTGCATTTCATTCTCACTTCTCACGCATTTAAAAAAATCGGGGTTTTTGCCTAGCTGTGTCCCATAGCTACAGTCAAGACGGTGTTAGAAGTGCTTTGCATGCTGACATAACATCTGTCTCAGTTAAGAATTGTTTGCTGGTTGTTGTCCTGCAATCAAAAATGCAGTACGTGATTCTGTAATAGAAAGGCAATTTTATCAGACAGAGAGGTAAACTTTGCATTCTGCGTTGCTAGGGGCATTGAGAAGTTCACATCTAGGGTGCTTTTAAAGGAAAAACAGCACGTGGCCATCCTAAATTTGGAGGAAACTTAGATCTTGGTCTCCTCTGAACATTTTTATTTTTCATAAAATATGCTGTGGTATTTCCTTGTGTGCTTCAGTAAGTTTCAGCATCTCAAAAACAGCACTTGTAACACTATTCATCACTTGATTAATGTCTTCAATTTAAAAATCCTTGTAGAACCAATTATTAAAACATACACCAAAATCATTGATGGGCGACCTGTGGAAGTGACAGAGAAAAAAGTAACAGAAGAAAGAATTATTCAAGGTAAATTATGCTGAGCTATTCATACTTAGTAAAGTTCACCATTACATACAAAAGTAACACATCTTAAATTCTGTCCTAATGCCTAATTTCCTGGAGAGAACTGCCTAAACTGCATTTCCTGGAGAGATGAATTTTCCCTAATACTTCCCACTGCCTATGTATGACTCAAATTCTGGCTGTGTGTGCTACACACACATATAGACAAATGGCAACAATATTTCAACAGCATGTAAAACACTGAAAACTTTTTTTGTTGTTTTTTTTTTTTATGTATTTGCAAAGTGCCTGCTTTTGCAAGCTTCTTGCTACCATTTCAGGATGAGATTGCTTTTGTTGCACTATTTTGGTCTGGTTTGCTTTAGAAAGAAGACTTTTATTTTTGGTGGTCTTTTGGGTTGTGTATCTCCAGGTAGGTTTCATTTGACCAAAGGTAGACCTTCAGTGTGTAAATACCTACTCATCCCAGGCTCCCTTGACAATCATTTCAGAAAAAGAACTTCTCTGTTTCTCTGTAAGGAGGGGCCTCGATTGATCTGACATCCACAAGTTAGACATTTGTATTCACCTAATATAAGATAAAATTAATGTGCATCTATGTCCCTTGATCTTCTTCCACACTAACTTTTAAACTCTCTGGCCAATTTCAATTATATTTGACCTACTACAGAGATATTTCTTTAAGAATCCTAGAAACTTCACGGAGATTGAAAAGTGGAGTGAGGTGTATTTAAGCAGTCACAAATTCTCTGCTAACACATTTTGATCCCTGTGGTTAAATATCAGTTTGAATGCTGCCATTAAAATCCTGTCTGCCAGAGCACTTGTAAGGGAAGACAGTGTTATAGGAACATATTGACTTAGCAGAAAGTCTTAATATTCAGTTTATTTACAAAATCTTAAAATTCAATTTAAGAAGCCATTCAAGCAAGAGAGAAATAAAGAACCAGACTTAAGTTATTCTCATACAACTATTTACTACAATGAAAAATAACTGAATAAAAACATTGATGGTTTCTGAATAAACCTGGGACTATTTTTCAACACAAAATTTCTGGGGGAGAAAATAAAACACCATTTTGTCATTTCTCAAATTCAAGTTTCACTAGAATCCCACATAAAATGGTCAATATAATGTAAAATGCCAGCGTTTCAGAACCGATAGTTCCTTCTCTTCCCTCTGTAGTAGAAACTGATAAAGAATCTCAAACGTTAAGCTCTCAAATGATTCACAGCAGTAATAAAAACAACAATGTCTATTTACAACAGTAGATCCAGACTCTTTTTGCACTTAGGTAGTATCTGATCTATGACCTAATACAACAAAGTGTTTAAAACTGTGTCTTACTTTAAGAATGTGAGCAGATATTTCCTGTAAGTATATTAAATTTGTCTAAGTACTTTCCTGAATAGCTCTAAATACTATTTGGAACCTCTTTCAGTTTAATTTGGGACACAGTGAAAGATAAAATGATCATAAAGGCAGATGAAAGCGTGTTAACAATGGAACCATCCTAAGTGTGAAATAGGAAAAAATAACTTAAAAGGCAATCCTATTATATCTGATTAAAGTCTTACACATCTCTTTTCCAGGTCCTGAAATAAAATATACCAGAATTACTGCAGGCGGTTCAGACAATGAAGAAAAGTTAAAGAAATTGCTTGAAGAAGGTTAGTATCCTTGTTTTCTTTCCTTCCTTTAAAAAAAAAAAAAAAAAAAAAAAGAAAATTATATTACTTAAGTAATTCCTGAATGGATACTCCATGTTTTCAGCAAAGGTGCTCATACTGCAAAATCATACCCAGAGATTAAACCTCAGAACCTGAGAAGTGTCCAAATCTAACGTTCTGGTTTGAGTCTCTGATCTTCACATTTCAGTCAGCTCCAGAGTTGAGGCTGCCTGGGTCTAGTATCTAGTATGCTATGTTTGTCATAAAATATGTTTTTTTCAGTGTTTACATGGAATTTAATATCATAACAGATGAATTTTGTAATTCAGCAAAATGCTGTGACAGGATTAATTCAGTAATATGCTGTTACAAGATTGTCAAATGTTTTCTGTAAATCAATTTTTTGCCATAACCTGTATCCTATCAGAGGTTACCAAGGTGACCAAATTTATTGAAGGTGATGGTCATTTACTTGAAGATGAAGAAATCAAAAGACTTCTGCAGGGAGGTAATTCAGTGTATTATAACTAACCTTTTTGCAACAGGTTATGATAACTGAAACCCCTCTCAGATATGTCGATCTCAACATTTTAAAGACTGACCTAGCAGAAGTGTAATTTTAATGGAAGAAAAAGTAGAATGCCATATATGAAGTGCCAGATATCTGTGAAATGGAAATAAGTATCAAAGTTTGATTAATCAATTTTTTTTATGATATTGGTCATGAAAAAAAAAATTATTTGGTTTTTTCAGTCTTTAAAAAGTTATCTAATTAAAACTCAGGGGAGCAATGAAGATTTATTCCACTAGCTGTGAAATCTTTTTTTCAGCAAATTTAAATATCTGAAAAACACTTATGAACTGGGAAGTATTGCAACAGGCCAAATTAATCTTACTTATCAGTTCTTCAGAAATGAATATTCATTGCCCTCGAGTTAATAATTAAAGGCATGTTTAGCATCCTTCTTTCAATGCTTACAGGTGATGGATATCAAGGCATTAACTTTAATTCTCTTCAAATATAGCATTCCAAGGAATGGTTTTCTTTCCTTCTTGCTCTCTTAATTCTAACAGTTTTGGCAATATATAACCAGTAGCTGTAGAAAACTGGTAAAAGAACTTGTGCTTATGAAATTAATCTTTCTCTATGAATTTGGAATGTTGTCTGCTTAATGTAGATTAGAAAAACTATCACTATCTATAATAGCAATGGGGAATAAAAAACGAGAATTCAAGTGCTGTGTTTTTAGTAAATGTTAGTGTAAACCTGTGTCAGAAGCTCAAAAATATGTATGGATGTTTCTCTTGACATAAATTAACTGAATCCACTTCATTTTATGTTCACTTTTTAGTAAGTTACAAACTTGAATGCCAGTGAAGTAGCTCACAGCCAGCTGTGTGTTTACTGAAGTAAATCTTGTAGTCCTTCGAAAGCACTATTCTGTGGATGTGACTTAAACTTCAGTTAAGTAAAAAATTTAGTGATGGCTGAACGGCTGAACAGCTTTCCACCAAACAAAACCATGCTAATTGATAATACAGCTAGTCTTAGACAAAGCCAAGATATGGCTATGAATACTGTTGACTGTATTTCTTTCTTCTGTTTTAAACATCTAAATCTTTAGTTTTACAGGTCTAAGCCAGAATTTGCCTATAGTCATTGGAGAGAAACAGGAACTTCCAGAGGGTTTTTCATCTTATCCTATCTTAAGTGTCCCAGCTATGTGAAAAGAGTTGCTCTCTGGAGATGCCTATTTAAGCATTGAATATTTAAAAGGAAAGTTGGAAATGAAAGAAATTATAGCAAGAAAATCCCTCCATATACTGGACTATGTTCTGTTGGTGTCAACCAGGCAATAAAGAACAGGATCAAACTTTATCTGTAGAACTGTTCAAAATTCTGGTGACAGGTCTGATGCCAGAATCTAACAATTACAATTGTAATTGTAATCATCTTCAGTTACAGAGGTATACAATTAAATAGACATAATTTGTAGAGATACATCTTACAGTGATCTTATAGGTGTATGGAAAAGAAATAAATAGTTTCTCTGTAGTAAATTTGGAAAAAACAATGTTGTCTCTTGAATTCTTGCTATTTTTCCTTGCTATTATATGTTAGTTTGCATAAGCATCCTGCTTTACAGAATGGACCAAATAGGCAGATTTGTCTCTTGTTTTAATTTGATTTTTCTTTATCTTTTCCATGATTTATCCAATCAGCTGCCCTTGGCTGCCATGGTAATACCTTACCATATGTTTAGCCAATAAAAGCAGATACATATGCTGCTTTATGGCTGTTGGTGATAATGGTGATCATGCTTTACAGCCCTCTTGTCTACGTCAAATTACTTCTGTTTTACTGAAAATTTCCTAAGCATTTAAATCTGAGTCCAGTCACAAACGAATGTATTACCACTGTCTAAAGTAAAAGAATTATTTCATATGGGCTGCAATTCTACTCATACAATATCCAGCACTGCTTGTTACAACTGGCAGTCTTTGCTGAAACAAAACTTCAAGCCAAGATTACAATGAATGACTCTCAGCCCAAGAGAAGGAATCACCTGTGGCAGGGCCAAGGAAATCAGCAGGACCTTACGGCATGAATAATACGGGGGCCTGCATACACCTACACCCCCAAAATGACATTGTTTCCACTGAAGGCTCCTTGCATATGGAAAAATGCTATGCCAGATTTAACTCATTTGTTTTTGATGCTTATCGTAGCTGGAACTGAGTACACCAAGGTTACTAAAGTAATTGAGGGAGAGCCACAGATTATCGAGAGAGAAATCAAGAAAGTCCATCTGGAAGGTTAGTTTGTCTAAAAACCCAGTATCACTAAGACCTGCTTTGTCTGAAGTGATCATTCCAGGTGGAGTTTTATAGTATCCATTCACAAAAATTACTTAGGTCTGAAGCCAGTCTTTTAGCAAGAAGAGTTTTATAATTGTTTTGGAAAAGGATTCTTTCACTGACATTGCAGAGAAAAATGTTGAGGCTTATCTTGTGGCTAAAAGTAAGTAAAAGATTTGGCAAGCATAGTAGACAAGAGGAAATGTCTGACCACAAAGCTTAGGTAAAACATTTGAAGGAACACGCACCATAAGAATTGCCTTTTCTCTAAGCAGCACATCCAGAAGAAGACCACGTGAGTTGTTTTTAACTTGAGTTATTTCTTGTCAGTGTTAATGTGATCTGTTGATGTGAGGGGTTCTCAACTTGGTGACATGGGGGTAGGGTGGAGGGAATATAACCTCTGGGGTTGAGTAAATATCTCACAGGGTCTTGGAATTTCTCTACCCTTATCTTGTTGTCAAATGAAGGAAGATCTTGGGTTTGAAAAAGCTGAATGGTGTTGAAGTCCAAAATTAATCTCTTAAAGGAGCCAAATACAATTCAGCCTGGCTTTATACCAGGAATTTGTTCTTCAAGTTTAACAATAATTTTTTAATGATCTTCATTCAAAGTTAAGAAGTAGCTTGTTTAAGGTTTCTTTTGTATTTGTATGTATGTCCTTTTCCAATTCTAATTCTAGTAATGCAGAATAAGTTATGTCAGCCTTTGAACTAAATTCATAGGAAAAAAATTATGGCTTTTAGAGAATGAAGCTAAATAAATATGTTTCTACTTTTTAAATTTTGAAGTCTATGCTAAATACTGAAGGTATACCATAATATTTGTATAACTTCAGCATTGAGTAATACAAGGTGTGCAGGGAAGTCAACCATTGCCTGAAAAAGACAGACAGGTGTGATATTCAACCATGAGGTTTACCTGAAGGCATAATTGCATGGACAGCATACAAGTGTGGAAAGCATACTTTGGATGGACCATGTTCTGTCCTTGTCAGGGCAGTGCAGAGCTTGAAATTTTCTATCACATTGGTGCAGATACCCAGTGTTTAGCCTCAGCTGTAATGAGGTGAAGCCTGTATCTCAGGGCCATGCATTTATACACCCTGTACCTCAGGATGAAAAGACAACTGACTGCAGCTGGTTAAGCAAAGATGCAAGTACTTCATGGTTGTAAAGAAGGAAAAATACCCCAGTGACATTTCTGTGACAGTAACAGAAGAATTCTCTCTTATGCTTGTGAAATATTTTTCCTCCCAGTAAGGTTTAAAAAATGTCTCAAGGTTTGATGAGAAAGAGGAAAAGGTGTCCATAGTTTCACTCAGTCAGTATTTTGGAAAACAGATGTATCTGCTAATGAGGGTGGTACCTATTCAATAGCCCTTGCTGTACTCTACCCTTTAAAGCAGAAGTCTTTGAGAAAATTAACTGAACTCTAAATGTGGAATCATACTGTGGACTCACAATGCAGTTACACATCAAGCCCCAAACACAGCTGGAACATCTTGTGACGGTTGAGTTTCAAGCATATCACTTATAAATAATTCTGGAAGTAATGTCTATACAGCAGACCTGGTCATCCTCTGCCAAAAGCTGAGACTGAGTCCTGGGCTGTACATTAACCTGAGCTTGTACGTCGCTGACATATCAGATGGTGTTTGCTGAATGAAGAGCATGGGCAAAACGTCCTGGCACCTGCCTACATCATGTAACCATCTGTAGGAGATCAGTGTGAATAACGGATTAATTCATACTGTTAAAATGTAAAAATACTTTTGAAATGTTGGTAAGATTTGATGGATGACTGCACATGACAGAAATATGTGAATTGTATTATAAGCATTCATGTTTCAGGTGATGAAGTCAACATGCTAATGGGACAAAATTCTTAATTTACTGAAAACCTTAAAGAACAAACTTTGCAAGTCAGCAATGGGTTTCCAACATTTCTAATGAGTTTTAATTCAAAGGCTTTAACAAATAACTTCTGACTGCAACACTTCTGTTTTCTAGAAGCACCTGTACGGAAAGTACAACCAACCAAGAGGACACAAGGTAAAAGCAAAACATATATTTAAACATTTTAACATGCATCAAATATTATTCTCAGTTACTTTGAAAATCAGGAGGGAAAAAAAATACCCTTAAGAAAACAGAGTTCAAAAGGAAGGAGATGCATTTATGCCTCTAAAAAAAGAAATTTTAACAAAACTGGGAATTACTAAGTACCGAGATTCTAGACTTATATATAATACAAATTTCTATCTGAAGACAACTTAGATTATGCGCTTTGGTCAGTGTTTCAGATTAGAATAAAGCCATCAAAGTGAGATCTGAGTCTGGAGTCTAACACTGTGAAAATAAAGGAAGGAGTTGCATTTATGCCTCTAAAAAAAGAAATTTTAACAAAGCTTGGTATTGTTAATTACTGGGTTTCTAGATTTTTTTCTTATATATATTTCTATCTGAAGACAACTTAGATTATGCGCTTTGGTCAGTGTTTCAGATTAGAATAAAGCCATCAAAGTGAGATCTGAGTCTGGAGTCTAACACTGTGAAAATGGCACTGTGGGATTCCCCACCATAGGATTTGTAACTCACTGATTCTACATTATTTTGATCATTTAAGAAGCTGAGAGATCACTGTAATTTCCTAGCTGCCAGCACGAGAGTGAAAGATTCAGCATCAGGTTTCATCTTTCCTCTTCACATCTCTGTTTCACAAGTAAATACAGTATATAGTGTAACTATATTATATATAATTATAGGTAATAATTTTGGTTCTTTTTCCATTTTTCCCAGGGGGAACAGCAAGAAGGAGGACAAGACTAGCTTATTCCTCACTGTAATTTCCTAGCTGCCAGCACGAGAGTGAAAGATTCAGCATCAGGTTTCTTCTTTCCTCTTCACATGTCTGTTTCACAAGTAAATACAGTATATAGTGTAACTATATTATATATAATTATAGGTAATAATTTTGGTTCTTTTTCCATTTTTCCCAGGGGGAACAGCAAGAAGGAGGACAAGACTAGCTTATTCCTAAAAGCTTACCAAGATAAAATCCACAGAATTACAAATTAACAGCATGGTCTTTGAGAGGAAGAGAAACTTTTTAAAAAAATGAGAACATTAGAAAACGACATTGTTTTGATAACATAATGTAAACTGAACCATGAATCCACAAAAAGATGTGAAGCTGCAGATACTCACTGCTAGCACAGTGCTCACTAGGAGGAGTAGTCCATTGGGGGTGCTTTAACTGCTCTTGATAGTAAGCAGGGTGGGATCCTGGAACTGCTGAAGGCCATCAGCTTCTGTAGAACCAGGATTCCTTCTTATGCTGGCTAGTAAGTCTTTGCAGGATTGGATTCAAAAAGAGCAGGGAACAATGCAGAGTGTATTTTTTTATTATTATTATTTCCACTAAATAAGAAATATAAATGTGATCAGATCATTTCTAGAAAAAAAAATCACTTCAGGTGACTTTTTTTAGAGTAATCTAAGGAAGTATGAGATGTTAAAACATAGCACTTTTGGTTCAGTAGTGTTGTATGCTTTTTATAAGTCAAAATTCATCATGTTTAATGTCATAATGACACCAGTAATGTTACCTTTTCTAAACAAACAAATATGCCTTATATTAAATGTATCCTTTTTTTTTGTTCTACATTGCATATCCAAATGCCTTCTAGTAACATGGCTAATGGAAGCTCTTAAAAAGAAAAAAAGGAAACATTATGAGCTTCTTGAAATGTATTTGAGATCATGTTGACTATTTATAAGAAAAATCATTCCCATTAAAGGAATCCTGTACCAATACATATACTGAGATTCTTAAGTGTTTTCCCACTTTTCCCTAAATGTGTCTTTTGATTATTAAAGTGGATTATAAAAGGAATAAATAAAATGCATGCAAACAGTTAACTCAGCATGGAAAAAGGTTTTACAAAAATGAGGCTAGGTCTGAAAGCTTTTATATCAAAACATGCTTTGCTAATGTCTGGTACTAACGTGGAGTTGTCTGTAAATTATGTCAATTTTATAACTCTAGTTTTGTACTTATAAAAGTTGTTTGCCTTTATTAACAAAAGTTGGAAAACAATTACTCATGAAGTAGAAAAAACGTGTTCAAAGTGCCTTAATTCTGCAGACCAGAGTTTCAGAGGAGTTATCTAATGTGCTTTTATACTTCTGTTTTGAAACGAATACTCAATAAAGAATTTGGCTGAACTGTGCTTGCTTTCATTTGTAAATATTTTTTGAATAGTAAAGCATATTCTAAATATTCTTAGGCTTTTAGTGTAGTTTTTAGTTAAAAAACATGCTTCCACAAAAGCAAACTGATGCTTCCCCTTCTCATTTAGCACATGCTAATGCACTTAAACTGCATCACTCTCCTTAAACACAATTAAAAACCTTCCCTAATTCCATAATCACATACCACAAGCACTACTGCCGGAACGATAAAGCTGTCTGAGCATTGGATTGCGATGTTGTGTAGCCTTACTGGGCTGTCAGACTGTCTCAATAAGGTGACCTCAGTATCTACTATTATAGTGCTTTGGTGGAAGGACATCTTTTAAGCCTGGTAAGAGCTAGATAGCTTTTAGGTGAGAATGAGAGCTCTTAGAACTCTTAGAGGGTGAACTGAAGCTGTCACCTTTCCCTGGGGCCTTTGACTGTCATTAAATCATTAACTTTAATCTGCTTTCTTCACTGCCGTGCCACTGTGAGCTGTCAGTCAAGTAAGATTTTAAGGGACAGTAATTACGTTAGGGGAGGAATTTGTCTGTGCTCTCCTCTCCCAAGAAAGAGTAGGAGATGGGGAAGAAAATGGAATGGAACTGACAGATAAAGTCTGTACAGGAACTGGGGAGGAAGCAGGAGGAGGCAAGAAAATGGATTAAAACCTATCCTGTGGTAGGACATTTTTAACTTTTCAGGTGGGAATAAATTTCTAACATGCTAATTTTGGTATATTTTCTGCTTTGATAACATTTTAAAGCCTCTGGTAGTCATTAAAATACCTTTCTGTACTTCACTCTTCATTAATATAATCCAGGTGAAATACAACAATATATATAAGGCACTCCTGCATGAACACTTGTTTCCCTGATACACTCTGCTCCTCTGAGTCCTTCCTTGACCACAGAAAGTGTCTGCCCAGCTGCACTGTACACTGACATCTCTTTTGGAGTGGCTTTTTCTATTTATCTGAATAAGAATCCTTCCACAACCCAATGTAGAAAGAAAATCAACATGTTCTTTTAGTTGTTTTTCATATAGTTAATAACTTCTGTCTCAGCACGGACAGTCTTTTACTGAAGAGCAGATTTGGAGAATTTTTGTGACTACGACTCCTCCCACCCCATTATCTATTTCCCCTCACCTTACAGTAATTTAAACTAATGTAATGTGATTAAACAAGGGATTAGCATACTACCAAGTCAGAATGCTTACTAATAATAGAGAACTCACTCTTTTCTTTGGTGTTTCCTTATAATCTCTTAGGGATTTATAAAGAGGAATGCCCATGCCCAGCTGAGTTGGTGATCGAATTCTCAAAGTGCTTTATCTGCTTCGTTTGGTATCCTGTATGAAAAACTGATGCCATAGAATTTGTAACTAGCAGTGCTCCCAAATCTGTCAGTTTTGCCAGCAGTAGGTGCACATAAGTGCATCTATAAGATCACTAAATATTCATGTTTGCTTTAAAAATAATGAAATCTTAGAATTACACATTTGATTGTTACCTTGTGGTTTTCTGGAAACTAGGACTTGTATCTACATGCTTTTCTTTGTGATCTAGGAGGGTGAATATTCATAAATATTCATAATTTGACAAGTATTGAACAGAGGAGACTATGGTGAATGTTTTTCATGTATTGGATAAGATGAAAAAAAGTGAAGCTACAAGGCAGAGGCATTACAAGTGCCTGACAAAACTGCCCTGGAATTAACAATACTTCACATTTAAATATCACCATATACTTAATTCTTCATCTTTGTTCTTCGTTATCAAGGCCTTCATTGTCTGTATTTGTCAGACTCATAACAGCAGCGCTCTCATCTCCATTCATTTAACCTATGCCATATAAGCAATAGCGGCAGAGAAGGAATAGAGGGCATTGAGGTATATCTGCATTGATACCCATGAGAGAAAGCCAATCATAAATATCCAGGAAATTACAAGTCCATACCCCAACGTTATGATAATATAGAGTTCATCCATAGGCCACTAGAACAGAGCAGCTTCAAACGGCGACAGTCCACAAAACGGATATCATCATAATAGCAACCCCTGGGTTGATGGAGAAGGACCTTGAAATTGTCACAGCAATAAACTCTTTTTCAATGTTACCGAAATAATTCAACCACAAAACTGATAAGCAGAAGGGAAGCCCTAAGGAGTAAAAAAAATATTGCCAGGGTTGAGATTAATCAGTGAAGGTTTCAACAAAGGAAGTTTTTCAGATAAAGTTAAAGCTGAGGCGCAGACCAATGTTTATACAACAAATATGTCAGAGGAAAAGACCGAAAACTTAAGAAGCATCTTAGGACCATAATTATTGTTGGAGGAGACCTGAGAGGTGAGCAAATACCTAACCTAGCAATGGCAGAAAATAGGTCTTATTCTAGATCACTGAATATGCTTTTTTTTTAATACAAAATGGTCACTTCTGTTCTCTCTTCCTCTTTCTCTCATCTCCCATGTGAAGTGACCAGCAAGGATCTCTGAACACTTATTTGGCATGGATCCATGTGGTCAAAACATTCTTAAACTAGTCCTCTGAGCTTTGCAGTCATGTTAACTCTGCTTAATTTAGTACATATAAAGCCCGCTTCCCAAATTTGCCTGTGATAAAGAACAAGACAAAATAACTAAAATCGACTTCTCCAAAACAAAACTTTGTTTATTCTTTCCTTTAAAGATGAAAAGTAAATCGATCAAAGACATAAAATAAGCTACCCTTAAAAGCAGCACCACAAATCATATGCTGTTTCATATAGATTTCTGTCTTCTGTGTTCAATACCCCTTTGCCAAATTGGTCTGAAATTTCCTGAGGTCCAAAATTTCATAGATGACTAACATCCATGTACAAATCTTTCCATACTCTTATGCACATTCCCATCAGTGTACCCTCACCCATGACCATAAGACTGATGAAACAAGGCCTAAAAAAAGGATTAAAAAATTATTCTTAGTAATGCCTGATTCTTTCTTTACATGATTCAGCAATAAGTTTCACCCAGACCTATTTCTCCCTCTCTAGTTTGAACAAGAGCACTGTATTGTACAGCCTGATATCTGCATCACATGGGCGTCAGCCTTAAACTGCTTATACTACTTTTCCTTTCAGGGGTCACATTTTTAAGCTTAAATAATGTTCTGTTATCTTGGTACTGTCTGAGGAGAGTAAATTTTTCTCTATAAATAGACACCAAGCTTTGGGTTTTATCTTGCTTTCTTACCCTTTTGTTGCTTCTTAGAAGATCCTTAGAATTACCTGTTGTGGCACCTCGGTGTTCTCACCATGGACCACTCACACAGCAGCTTCTTGACACAACTGTAGGAGCTCTAGCAGTAAAGGCACATGTGATGTTTGTAAAAAGCCAAACAGAACAAAACTCTCCATTACTTTAATTCAACCCCCAAGAAATATATCAAAAATTGTTACAAAATTGAAAAATGTCAACGATGTTGATTTTTTTTAAAAGTGAATATGAAAAATGCCATCTGTGATATTGTTCTACATGAAAAACTGAGTAGCTCTATTCATTAGTGCATTCTAAATGCCTGCTTTAGCTATGCACATTCAGTGTTCGCTTTCTTTTTTTTTTTTTTTCTACCAGGAACAATTTTCAAAGATATTACTTTTAGAAAGATTAAACTGACCTTTTATAAAGAAATATGATTTGCATTATCTCATAGACTTTGTGTTTCAATTAAATGTCATTTGTGTAAAGTGGAGGCCTTTGAAATTAGCTATACAGCAAAACAACGCAGCAGTTTTTTAGGAAAATGCTAGACAGAATGTTTTGAGGTTATACATTAATTATAAGAAGGGACAAAATAAAAAATTTGTTATAACAAAACTGTATAGTTACAGCTGCATTCTTCTTGCAGACTCTCTCAGAGTGGTTAACAACAAATACTGGTCAAACTGACAAAAAGTTATTCCTTTAACATTGCTACTAATTGCCAAACAGTGTTTATTACTAGCAATAAAATTGGTTAAAACACTCAAAAAATCATTTTTCTAATGATCTAATAAACCTGGAAATAAACAATAAAAAAAATCAAAGGCATTCTTTCCACTTTAGTACATGTGTCTTGAGATTAATTTTTAGTAAGAGGAGTATTAAATAGAAATTAAAATAGCTGTTCTCATGTTTGGAAAATACAAGAAAATTAGTTACTTTTTTTAGTCAACAGATCCCCAAGCATCTTACAAAAAAAATCAACATCATTGTCTCAGTTTTACAGATAGAGACACTTAGTCACAGAAAAAATGAAATCTTCTCTTCTGAGTTCCACTTCATTTCACCGTTTTCCAGATCACACTTCTCTGGTTTCCTCATCACTAGCTAACATTTGACATCAGAATGCCATAAAAAAACTGACATCTTGTTAAACTGATGGTGGTACTTTTTGTGGTTTTATGAGAGGAGCTATACTAATAGGACAACTGGTCCAGGTGACATGCCTCCTGATCTTCTGCCTCTGGTCCATCTGGGTGCTCCATGGACAATGTGCAGACTGCCTGTCCTGGTGTGCTTGGCAACAGATTATACCCTTTAGCTGGACATATTGTCATCAGACAGGCCTATGTTTCCTCAAGTTCTTTGCCAATGGATGCCAGATAAATATTAGGTACCTGCACATACCACTTGAATTGAGAAATCTGTTCATATATATAAACCGGGGAAGGGAGATCATACTATGGTAGTGTCAGAAAGCTCAATGAACGCAATACTACTGCATGGGAAGGGGAGAGTGCCAGGCTAATACAACTGTGTCTATGCTAGCAAACTAAACAGAGAGGGGAAACAAGCTGGAGCACTGACATTTGGAGATCATAGAATCATAGAATCATAGAATCATTAAGGTTGGAAAAGACCTCTAAGATCATCGAGTCCAACCGTCAACCCAACACCACCATGCCCACTAAAC